ATGGGGCGCTCTAGGTGGGGGAGGAAATTAAGTCACCTCCCAAAAAGATGACCTAGCCCTTTTTTCGGGGGTCAAAAAAAAATAAGGCCCGGCCTTATTTTGTGAGAAACACGGTAATTATTTTGGTTAGGTTCTTAACCACATCTTTAATTTTTGCTTCAGGGAGACAACATTCTTCCCTAGATTACATGTCTACAGATGGCTGGTTCTGTTCCTTTGAGAATATAATTTTCTGTCGCTAACACTCGCCTTCCTTTTTTAGGGGGTGCAGTCTGGGGTGCTTTTCTGTTTATCTCAGATATGTTTGCTATGACTTTTTAGGGGTATTCGATGATGTCGCTTTTCTAAGTGTCTGCGTGTTTTCTTTAAGGGGGGGTGTTGTGGGCTTGCGTATTTTCATCTAGGAGGAGAAATTAATTGCTCAGTTTTAATGGGGCTGCTTTTGGTTGGATTAGATTGGGCAGTATGGATTTGTTAGCTGTATGCTGTTGTTTTTTTTTATTGTGTTTCCTTCTATATGTGACATACCTCCATTTATCTTCCTCCAAGTGTTTATCAGCAGGGTCAAATCCTTTGAGAGTTATTTGTTCATTATTTGGTTTGATTTGTCCATAGCTTTCTTGCGTAGGTTGGAATTTGGCTAGAGTTGCTTCTAGATTCCTTACTTTTTCCTCTAGCAGTTCACATACTTTACATTTAATACATGTGTAATTTGGGTGTTCTTTGGGCATAAGCAGATACATGGAATATATATTGCATACCACAATAATATCAGTCACCTGTTCCATGAGTTTGTTTCTTTTTGCTGGTTCTTTTTAGGAGAAAAAATATGTAAAAGTAGGACATTTTACTTCAATTTTATTTGTAGTCATTTTTGAACGGCATTCTGCTGCATGGTGCCCCTCCTTTCCACACTTAAAACAGCCAGATGGTCTTGTAGTCATCGTAGTTTGGGGGTGAAAACCTCCCGCTTCCACTGGGGTGGGGATCTTATCCAAATTCTGCCACAGCAGTACTGGTTATGGGCCATGTCTATCTATGCCTCCTCTGCCATCAGGCACCATTCACACAGAAGGTTGGAGCTCCATGGCCCAGGCAGGCAGTGTACAGGTCGTCATTGAGTCCATCTTTGAACCAAGAGACTAGGATATCTTCTGGCCAGTCGACTCGGCCAGCCAGGTCGCGAAATTCCTTGGTGTATTCGGCCACAGGGTGACCTTGCTTTACAACCCTAATGCGGTTGTGGACTTTTTGATCAGCGTGAGGATCTTAGAAGCAGTGGCGTAGGGCCGTCATGAATCGATTGAGGTTCCTCAGCTCTGGGGCGTTGTGGAGGGTAATCCACCTGGCAGCTGCTCCTTCTAGGGCCAGAGTTACGACTCGCACTCGGGCCCCCTGAGTCGGGAAGTTCCACCCAGGAAGTTCCATGCCAGGAAGAATCCCAGTTTCTGGGGTTCCCCATCGAATTTCACCCCCAAGGGTGGGATCTTTCTCTGCAGTTGTATATCTCTGGGTGGGCTGGGCTTAATCCCCTGCTCTGGAATGGCAAGTGGTTGGGTACCTGGCATTGCTGCTGGCCCTCCAGCTTGTTCCATTGCTCAATCATTCTCAGCTGGATCATAGGTGACAGCTTGGGTTCTCTCAATTTCTGGTTTACTCTCTCTCCTTTATTGGCGACCTGGTTCATCCCTCACATTGAGGCCCTCCAGGGCTTCCCTCACGAGATGATTTATGTACCATTTCAATTGGTCATCTGCCAGTGGTTCCTCGACCCATTCTTCCTGAACAGAAAGGGCCTCCAGCTCCATTTTCCACCCGGGTTTATGGTTACCACGGGTGAGGGTTACTCCCTTGGTCCTTCCATCCCAGCTGTCTCTTTTTCCTACGCCTATAGACCATTGGGGCTTCATGGAATTTTCGCAGGCAACTTCGATGTCTTCGATGGGATACACAAAGCCAGTGTCTGGCTGGGTAGTTGTCGAAGTTTCTCCCCAGTATTCGGCTTCCCCTTGCTCCTTGTTATGTTCAGACATTTTCGCAGGGTGCACTTGGTAGAGTGATGTTCTTTTTTTTGGAATCAAATCCAGTACCTGTCAATAGTGGTGTTCCCCAAGGCAGTGTTCTAGGACCAACTCTCTTCATACTCTACATAAACGACCTCTGTGATCATATTAAGAGCAATTGCGTTCTCTTCGCTGATGATGTAAAGCTGTTCAATACCACAGACAATACTGCTACCCTACAAAAAGATCTTGACTATGTATCAGAATGGTCAAACAAATGGCAACTTCAAATCTCAACAAATAAATGCTCTGTCTTACATATTGGCAAAAAAAATCAGAAAATAAAATACAAGCTGAATAGTCAAGATCTTGTTGATGACCCAAGCTCTGTAAAGGACCTTGGAATACTCACCTCTAATGATCTAAGTGCTAGAGCACACTGCAACTACATAGCCAAAAAGGCATTAAGAGTTGTTAACCTAATCCTACGTAGCTTTTTCTCTGGTAATATCACACTACTAACCAGAGCATACAAAACATTTGTTAGACCAATACTCGAATACAGTTCATCAGTCTGGAACCCACACTACGTATCTGATATTAGCACAATTGAGAAAGTCCAGAAATATTTCACAAGAAGAGTTCTCCACTCCTCTACTCGCTGTAGAATACCTTATGCCACCAGACTTGAAATTCTAGAACTAGAAAACCTTGAATTACACCGTCTTCGGTCTGACTTAAGCATGGTATACAAAATCATACATTGCAATGTCCTACCTGTCAATGAATACTTCAGCTTCAACCATAACAACACAAGAGCACACAATAGATACAAACTCAAAGTAAACCGCACCAAACTTGATTGCAGGAAATATGACTTCAGCAATAGAGTGGTCAATGTCTGGAATACTCTACCCGACTCTGTAGTTTCTTCCCCAAACCCCAAAAACTTTAACCTTAGACTGTCTACTATTGACCTCACCCCTTTCCTAAGAGGTCTGTAGGGGGCGTGCATAAGCGCACCAACGTGCCTACCATCCCTGTCCTATTGTTTCTCTTATTCTTTTATTTTTCTTATATGTAACCATTTCATGTATTCACAACTATGTATACATTTATACTTATTATCTTGTAAACAATTGGCAAATCAAATAAATAAATAAATAAATAAATAAATAAATGTTCCTCTCCGGGTTGACTACTATTGCAGTCCCTGCTTTATGTAAGGCCCAGGCTCTCTCCCCTTCAAACGATAAGAATGAACTTCTGAAAGCTGAGTATTTCAAAAGGAATTATTTATTGTGAAAAGGAAGTTATCCAGGTACTAGTCAAAGCAGGGTCTAATATGCCTCCAGGCGTACAGCATAGATAAAGGGAGTTAGAACCCCTTCCCTTATTCTGATGTGGATTTAGTCAATACAAAGAAGCGACGTGTTAATTCCTCCCCTCCTTTTCTGGGAACATAGTTGAGAAAAGTTTCCCAGGAAGTTTCTTTCGGAGCTGGAATTTTTATGGCCCCTTCTCCTCTTGCTATCTCTCCAAGAGGTGACATGTTTCCAGGCATCTGGGCTCTAGTCACCAGTTGTATATCATGTGCAAGTTATACAGATTCAATACAAGACTTAAGATATTCATGTTACATCAAAAAGGATTACTTGTACCAACTCCCCCCTCTTTCTTCTTCCAATTGAAGAATGGCAGATACATGGATCTGACACCTTGCTTTTGTCCACATTAAATTTCTGTTGTTGGATAAGGCCTATTGTTCAAGTCTGTCAGGATCATTTTGGATCCTGAGCTTGACTTCTGGGATGTTGGCTATTCCTGGCAGCTTAGTGTCATCTGTAAATTTGATGAGTTCCCCTTCTATTCCCTTTTCTAAGTCATTTATGAAGATATTGAAGAGTACTGGGCCTAAGACAGAGCCTTGTGGTACCCCTCTACTTACTTTTCTCCATGTCAATGTAGTACCATTAAGGACTACTCATTGAGTATGGTTTGTCAGCCATCTATAAATCTATCTGGTAGTGATGTTGTTTATTCCACATTTACATTCTAGTACAAATACTTAGTATTAAAATAACATATAATAAAAATATTTCAAATATTTCAGAAATAAACATGTACAAGTTATTTTATTGTTGAAATATTTTTTTAAGAAAACTTTGGAAATATTCCCATAACTATAGAAAAATAGTTATTTGACTTCTTTGAGATTCTATGAAAGCTCTTTTATGTAAGGCAGACTGGCAATCTTGTTTTAGAAATAAAATTAATGGTTATAAAGTTCTTTCCACTACTATATATCTACTAATATGTATCTTCAATATCAATTAAAAACAATGTTTCCTTTTAACAGTAGAATTTAAAACGTCTATTTTTTTCTATAACTTCTATTTCATCATTTCTCTAAAACCTTTAGTGACTAAAATCCACATTTGTATATCTGTCTTAACAAATGGAACTATTTTAGAAAAAGCAAACAGAAATATTTTTTTTAAAGGAACCTTTTATATTTTGGGTCATACAAAGTCACTTAGTACCACACATTATTTAGGTAACATCATAGCATTTTAATAATTCAAGCTTAATCATCCAGAATAAGACTAGATTGGATATGTGCCTTCAACTCTTAAATGCACTAATCATTGATACTACTTTTTGTTATATAAAGACATTTCAATTTATTTCCATTCAAAATCTATATATTATGAGATAATAGCTAACAGTGAAGGAAGGTATAAAAAATGAGGGTAACTATAGGCTGATATTGTAGAAGGTCTTTTATAAAAGTTATTTTATTTTTAGAAAGTATTTAATCTGTGATATTAAACTGTTTTCACTGTTATCTGTGAGAAACAAGAACACAATCTAGAAACTTTACTTAGAATCTTCTGGGAACATTTTTCCTAATAGATGATAATATTTCAAAATATATTCATTCAAACAAAGAACAAAAATAAAAAGAACACTTAATCTTTGTATTTTGTCTTATAGCCTTTGCCAAAAGAGTATCACTTTGGTAATAATTTTGGATATGTGGTAGCTTTCAAGTCGTTTGATCAAAATGATTGGAAAAGTGTTACAGTTCCTCAACCTGAAATTGGTCGGTATGTCCATAAGGATGAATCAATGCTTCCTTCATCAAAGTATCAAGTAAAGGTGAAAGCATTTAATAACAAAGGAGAAGGACCTTTTAGTCTTACTGCTATTATCTATTCGGCAGAAGATGGTGAGTAAAAGATGGTGTGATGAAAGTTTAGGTTTTGATATGCTTGCTGCAATATATTAAAAGAATTCTCATGTAAACAGTCTAATTCCTAAGATCTATTTCCAAAGATTAAGTTGAACCAACCATGCTCTTTAACACATTGGCTGCCCACATATCATCTGAGTTAATTCTGACCGGTAATATCAGAGCAATCTATTTTTCCAAATGAATTGAAATTAGAAGCTCAAGGATGTCTGCCATGAAAAGAAAGCAACATTTAGGAAAGCGCATGTCATGATAATTCACATTTTAAGTGTATACCAAATAAAGCAATGTACTATAAAAGTTTCAGATTGTCAGGTTAATTTACATTTCTATGTAAAAAAAAATCCATTTTCTGTTGTTTTATTGAGCATATAGAAATGTAGGCCAAGCTTCTACATTCTGGAAATACACCAAAATTCTAAATTTAATAAAATCACTAGTATAAAATGTTAATCTAAATACCATACAAGATTATTCCATTTTATTTGAAAATTTTCATCCAATATATAATTGTTTCCTCTGAACAGTAACTACTTGGCACATATTTGACTGAGTGCCCAGTTACAGGATTAAAAAATGTTTTTAGCTTTTATGTTGCAACTTGCTAAAAAAAGATCTTCAAAAGAGCATTGATCTTTGTCTCATAAATGAATATTTATAGACATTGAACTGTCTTCAGTGAATTGTGTTCACAAGCTAAGTAGATTAGTATTTTCTTTTAAAAATATTTAAACAGAGCAGCAGTATCTGTTTAATTCAATTAATCTTGAATTAATAAAAATATGACAAGCAATTCAAAAATTAGATGTATGTATGTACGTATGTATGAATGACCTAGCAAAGTGAAAACTATAGGACACCAAAACTGTTCGTATTTATTCTGTCTATAAACAAAAAATAAACCGCACATTTTAGGCACTTGGGGAAATTCACTAATTGTACCTAACCACGACTGCATATTCAGGTACATAATTTGGATACTAAAAAAAAGATAATTATTAATTCAGTGCCTAATAAATGGTTATTTCATAAAAACATCTACTATATATCTTTTTGCTGCAATATACTAGTACTTCGATTCTTTATGGTGTTAGTGAGTATGTGAATGAGGATTCTTTGTGAATTTATATATTCACACATTTTTTAAAAATTTACATACAATATGTTTGGTGTTTGATTATTTTAAATGGTTCATAAATCTCCTTTTCAGAGTTCAAGGCAACTTGCTTAAGTAGAAACAAAATGAAAGATAAAACTGGTAGTTTTCTTGCCATAATTTCAGAAGTGGGCTGAGAGCCCAAAATTACCCAGATGACTTAAACTGGTGTAGTTGCTAAAGGAACCAGAAATTGGAAGAAATATTGACCATGCTGCCAAAGAAAACACCAAATGAAATAATTGGAAATCCTTGATTATTTACTCTACATTAGTCAGAATATTAGATGTACAATATTAATATTCTGTTCAATTTTCCAGCTCCTACTGAAAGGCCTAGAAATGTACAAATAAAAGTTCTGTCATCCACGGAAGTATCTGTTTCCTGGGAGCACATTTTCAACCCAGCTGTTACTGGGTATGAGGTGAGCTTAAAAATGCATTCTCTTTTATTATTCATACCAAAAGATATAAAAGAACTGAACATGCTATTGTAATATTTATTTTTATAGTCAAAACATGTATCTGAATTTGAAATGAATTATAAATACAAGAATAGCTTTTGAGAATTGTCTACTTTTGCCCTTTACTATTACTGAAGCATCTGTCTATATAAAGATACTATAGTGATTCGTAAATGATCAAACAAACAATTACTAGAAAATGCAATAATGGTAAGCACAGGTAGCTTGTGACTAATGACCAGTGTTGAGCCCAAAATTTTTGTTCCTAGATGAGACATTTGTTAATTGTTAAGTGAATTTTGCCTCATTTTATGACCTTTCTTGCCACAGTTGTTAAGTGAAACATTGCAGTTGTAAGTTAGTAACATGGTTATTAAGTGAATCTGGTTTCTCCATTGACTTTGCTTATCAGAAAGTTACAAAAGATGATCACATAACCCCAGTACACTACAACCATCATAAATATGAGACAGTTGTCAAGTGACTGAATTTTTATCATGTGACCATGGGGGATTGTGGAATGATCATAAACATAAACAACGGTCATAAGTCACCTTTTCCAGCTGCTTTTCTAACTTCAAGCCATTGTAAATTGAGGACTATCTGTGCTTAAGGAACTGATTCTATCAAAGTAAAATTAAGCACTTCAAAAGGCAGAAGGAAGATACATTTTTAAATTTAGAAGAAAGCAACACCAGGATTTCCTTCTCTTGCATGGAAGTAATTTGAAATAGTTTTCTTCGATGATAAGGAAGCAAATCCCATGTTTAAGCATTTGCTAAAACTTTCCTTGCTTTGTTTTTTCTTTCCAACCTACACATACTTTAACATACACAAAACACATCTAAACCAAGATTATATACATATAATAAATGGAAAAGTGATATATCTTAAAATCAAAATCATCAAGGCAAGATTTCTGTACTGTTGGCAATTACAGTAGAGACACTCATTTACTTAAACCAGCTAAAATGAGAATCATTGGACATGTCAATCGTGCCAAACTGCCCCAGGTCATAGATTTGTAACAACTTGTAAAAACTGCTTCTTAATAACAATAAATAGTATAAATACTGTTTTTTCAGAGTATAAGATGGGCTCACGCTTCGGCCTCTGCCTCCCAGCAATTTGCCTCCTTGCAGCAATCAGCAAACAGCCTGGTCAGCTTCGGCACAGCCTGATTAGCACAAGCAGCTGATTGTTGGTTGGATCGCCTTCCCGACAATCAGCTGTTTCAGGTTGCAGGGATTGCCATTGCCCATTGCCACCTCTGTGCACTCCATTTTCGGCTTCTGCATCCCATTTTTGCCTTCTGCATGGCTGGTTTTCGGCCTCTGCATGCCCCATTTTCCGCCTGTTTCAATCCCCACTGCCCGGAAAAGGTTGAAAGTGGGGTGTGTGGAGGCTGAAAATGGGATGCGGAGGCCGAAAACGGGGCACGCGGAGGCAGCAATGGGCAATGGCAATCCCTGCAGCCTGAAACAGCTGATTGTTGGGAAACCGCTCCATCAGACCATCAGCTGCTTGTGCTAATCAGGCTGTGCTGAAGTTGACCAGCTGTTTGCTGCAAAGAGGCAAATTGATGGGAGGCAGAGGCAGATTTTTTTTTTCTTGTTTTCCTCCCCAAAAGCTAGGTGCATCTTATACTTCGGAATGTCTGAAAAATATGGTAATTACAATGATTATATAACTCTCTCCATTGAGAGGGATAGCAAATAAATTGGAAATAAAACATAAAACATGACCAGGTTGGCAAAACACTGGTTGTTATTTAGAATTGAAGATTTCTGTTTTTTAGAGTGAAAGGAATATCCTACTTCCCTCTGATTATCTTATTTCTGTGATGGAATGGTTCCCCTTTGCACATACTACTTGACTTACAACAGTTCACTTAGTGCCTGTTCAAAGTTACAACTGCAGCAAAAAAGTGACTTATGGCTATTTTTCATACTTACAACCATTGCAACATCCTCATGATCACATGATCAAAATTCAGACGCTTGGCAACTGGTTCATATTTATGATGGTTGCATAATCCCAGGGTCATGCGATCCCCTTTTGCAATATTCTGACATGTCAATGAGGAAGCTAGATTCACATAACAGTGTTACTAACTTAAGAGCTACAGTGATTCATTTAACAACTGTGGCAAGTAAAGTCGTAAAATGGTGCAGAATTCACTTAACAATGGTCTCACTTAGCAACAGAAATTTGGGGCTCAATTGTGGTCATAAGTAGAGGACTATCTGTATAGACAGTTCAGTGAAAAAGGCACCAATTTCAGGCTGAAATGGATTCACTACTGTTCTTTATTCAGCTTCCCAATTATTTTATAAGTAGTGCTAATTATACACATTCTAGTTCTTATATTTCACTTTATTTATTTAACTGTTGTAGTATACTCTGTCAAAACCTCTTGTGGTCTTCAATATGAATAAATTGAAAATGGAAATATTAAAATTTAAATTACAATATTAAAAATTGTTCAAATTGCAGCGGAAATAAATTGGATTAATAATTAAAATTATCATTTAAATCATTTAAACTGTATTTGTAAAAATATGGTTTAAGGGTCTTGTCAGAAGTTAGTAAACCTGTTTAGACCTGTTAAGTTTGCAGGGAACACAGAATTAGGTTGCAACTGAATGAGTCCAATCTTGAAGCTATCAGAGAAGCTTGAACAACATTAATCTCCAAATCGCACCAGGGTTTCAGATAAATATTGAAAAGCACTGCATAGAATATTGTCTTGAGGAATACCACAAAATAGTTCCCATTTTGAGCTGTCTTCGTGTAACCATCTGAAAGCTTTCTAAAAGATAGGAAAAGAATTCCTGCGCAGGAATCTTCCAGGAGCGTTTGGAGGATGCCATGGTCAATAATATCAAACTTTTTTTAAATTCAAAAAGCAAACTACATGGATCCTCAAATAACATAATCAAGTCAACAAAGGAAGTCTCAAAGCCATACAGTGGAGTCTATATGGACTAAAACATAAATATATGGCTTGTGCATAGCTGAGCTCAGTTGAAAAGCTATAGGTCTCTCACTCATGTTACTCAACGGGGATGAAGAGGGACAGACTTCTCTACAATTCTGAAAAATACAGAATGGGCTTCTTTAAAAGAGGTTTAATATTTTCTCCCTTAAACAGAGAAACACAATATTAACCAAAGCACCTCTAATAGATCAAAGATTAACAGAGTTGGAAGGGACTTTGTAGATCATTTAGTCCAACTCCCAACCCAAGCAGAAGACCTATACCATTTTTGACAAGTGGCTGTCCATGTCTCTTCTTGAAAGCCTCCAGTGATGAAGTACCCACAGCTTATGAAAGCAAGCTATTCCATTGGTTGATTGCTCTCACTGTCACAAAATTTATCCTTATTTCCAGGTTGAATCTCTCCTTGTTCAATTTCTTTGTCTGGCCTTCAGGTGCTTTGGAAAATAGCTTGACCCCCCTCCTCTCTATTGCAGCCCCTCAAATATTGGAATAATAATTTCCCAGGTAGAAATTACAAGACTGATTAACCAAGGAAGCAGAGAAAAAGCGGTACAACATACTTTTCCAAGAAGTTGTTGACACATTTGGATATCACAAACTGAAACTGATCCATTTTCATTATTCAGAAGAAATTACTTGACGCTTCCATAGACATGCTAAATACAAGAGTTTTATCTGCAAGTCCTTAATGAAAGGGGTGGGATTCAAAAATTTTAACAACCGATTCTGTGGGCATGGCTTAGGTGGTGGGTGTGGCTTGGTGGTCATGTGACTGGGTGGCCATGGCTTGGTGGTCATGTGACTGGCTGGGTGTGGCCAATTCAATATCACATCGAGGCACGTATCTCCTTGCCTGGCCTCTCATGACTGTGGGGATGCTGCAACAGTCATAAGTGTGAAACATGGTCATAAGTCATTTTTTTCAGTGCCATTGTAACTTTGAATGGTCCCTCCACACAAGCAAAGTACCAGCAAAGGAGGGGAAAAAAACTCCAGAGACGTTCCTGAGACAGGAAGTCTAGTCCTGCCAAGAATGTAATAAGGGTTAATGGAGAGGCAGTTTCTGTAAGCAACCCCAGAATGTTTCCTTCCTGCCTTCCTTACAGGATTAGGCCAGTAATTCCTTCTAACAACCAGTTCTCTGAACTGCTTAGAATGTTAACAACCGGTTCTAGCCACTAGGTGCAAACTGGTAGAATCTCACCCCTGATTAGTACAAAACCATTCTGACTCCTACTACAGTAAAAGCAGACATTAACGAATCAGTTGTGAATGTAAGTGCAGCCCACCTCTGATGCACACCCCTATACCAACGTTGTAGTGACGACTCTAAAGTGATTCCTCCAAAAGGATTCAATCTAAATAGTGGAGTTGCTGGGAGGAAATATTCCAGAAAAAAAAAATGTCCTATCAGTTTCTATGACCTCAAAATGCTATTTAAAAGGCAAATGGACTTTATTGGGTTTTTTTTTCCTTGAAAATATTTTGTTTCTCATCCAAGAAGTTTCTTCAGTTCTAAAGTCAAGAACCTTCTTGGATAAGAAGCAAAATGTTTTCAAGGAAAAGAACAAGAAAATCCAGTTGTTTTTTGAACAGCACCTTTGGCACAGCCATGACCTAGATGACTGTGTCATATGAACATCATGTCCTGCCATTCTTGTTGGAAGCAGGGTAGGGGGGGGAGGGAAGGATGGCTTGTTGGCATTTTTCGCAAGGTTTTGCTTTTGCTGTAACCGCTTGTGAATTAGGAAGCGGGGTTGTCTTCAGAGACAGAGGAGATTTCTTCCCAGCTGGTTCCAGTCTGGTTTCAAGGCTGTCATGGGCTGAGAGTGAACAGTTATCTGCCTAACACCTCAGAGTTCTTAAAACAACCTTGTGGCATCACATTGGCTGCCAGTAGACTGGCCAGGGGATTGGGTTTCAGGATGAAAAAATTGCTTTGTACTTTGCGTGGGCTTTTTCAGATTACACCTGACTTTACTGAAACCACAGTCTCTCAGTAAAAGTTCTTTTGATTCAACTCAATGGAATTAAGAGTCTTGCTGTCCTGAGGGACCCGTGGGGCATGAGAATCTCAATTTCTCCGTTTCTCCTGCTGAGTTAATTCTGAAATGTGGTATGTTTTTAAATATAAATTTCCATTGCTTTTGAAATAATTAGGAGTAATTATTTCAAATATATATTTCCTTTTATGTTTGACTTTTTTTTTGTCATTTTTACAGATCAGTTACTGGTCCAGCAGTGAAAAAGAAATAGCTGCAAATAGAGTGCAAGTGAGCAGTCAGAATTTTTCAGTAATGTTAGAAAACCTGAAGCCTTATACAAAATACTATACAAAAGTGGCAGCTTTCAATGCAGCTGGCATTGGACCTTACACTTATCCTTTGGATTTTGTTACAGAAAAAGCACGTAAGCATCTAAAGTAGGAGGTGGAGATGTAAAGATAAGATCAGATGGACATAGAATAAAAGGAGACTTATATCTGTAGATTTCATCAGACAACACAATTTATCTTAAAACTCCTTACTCAAGGATGAGCTCAATGTCTGGGAGCTTGAAATATTCCATTTTTGGTTTGTGGATGTTGTAATGTTTTAATTACCTTAAATTAATTTTTTCATGTGGAGTTGCCAGTTTGTCTAAATGTACTCAGTCATTGCTAGTAAATAATGCATATTGGTAGATACACAGACCTCTGGTGTGAAGTTGTTAAGATCCTGTAACATGGCTGCATAGTTTTGCTTCTGTCACTGAATAATTTTGCTACAGATCACTGTGTGGTCTGTAAATGCTGGGCAGTAGCTGCATAAGATTTAGTGACGATTTTTAAGCAAGAGAAAGCTATGGATAATTGTATAAATCAGAATGGGAGGTAAATAGTAGATGATACCATTGGTGAATTTTACTTGGGGACATAAATAAACAAATGTGTATGACTGAGAGAATAATGTTTATAAAATTTAATTGTACCGGTTACAATATACCAGTTTTATTCTATTTTGTTTTAGCTCCAAGGCAGCAACCAAGAATTATCAATGCTGTAAGGTCTGGTTCAAAGTACATCATCACGTGGGAACATGTTAAGTCACAGTCCAATGAATCTACTGTGAAAGGATATAAAGTAAGATTGATATTTAAGTCTTTTGGCATAACTAGGTAATGTTGGCTGTTTTGTTGTCCTATATGAATTGTACGTTATAAAGTAAATTGCTATTTAAAAGGAAGTGACATTTAAGAAAGGATATAAAATGCGAACAAATTTGGTTCCAGTGAATACAGGAATCTTATGAAATTTCTCTCAAAATCTATTATACTGATAATTCAGCTAATTCTTAGAAATTATCTTCTAACATGAGCCTTGACAAGATATAAAAATAGCTGTAAGGCAGAGAAACAGACCTATGAGTTCTTATTCTCTTACATTAGTAAGTGTGCCAGTCAACTTTTGTATTAGTATCTATTATGCTCAGAGCTGATTCATCTACTGTATGATGACATGCATGTCACTTCTTTTCAGTGGTGGAAAGAAGGAAGCAGATTGGAGATCAGTATAGGCCTGGGGTGCTGGCTGGGGAATTCTGGGAGTTGAAGTCCACAGGTCTTAAAGTTGCCAACTTGTAGATGTCTAAGCAGTGATGGATTGTAATCATCCCTTGTAAATGTCTAAGCAGTGATGGCTGAACAAATCTTTTTGGTACTTTCTTCATTTCAGCAAGAAGGAAGCATTAGGAACAATGGTCTACAGAGCACAGAAAAAGAATGACCCATAAAGAAGACAGGGCATGATTGCTTCCATAAATCCTCATATGAATTGTGGAAGTGTTGCTGTTTACTTCTCATAACAGTAATTGGCTAACAATTGGCTAACAATTGGCTAACAATTGGCTAAGTAATTGTTTCCTATTCGCAGTGATCATATTAATTAATGATTGCATTTTCTGGTAGAGCTTGTCTCTTTGCCCATTACTACTTCCTCTGGTAGACCATACACCATAGAAGCAACAGAAAATTTAAATATACAGATTACTTAAATATATTTTGCTAATGTTCTCTCACTAAATCTTAAAAAGGGAGTGGAAGCTTTTCAAAATGGAAAATCATATTGATTCAAGACAGCATTTATAAATATTTTGCCTCGATTTTTTAATAATGACTTGGAGTATTAATTTGTTAGATGGTGTTTATGAACTTACCTTGCCATGATATTTTTGATTATTCTCTAAAAGGTGCTCTATAGACCAGATGGTCAATTTAATGGTACACTCTTTAAGACGGGTAACCATTATATTGAAGTTCCTGCACCTATTAAAGGACAGTACGTTGTTGAAGTTCGGGTCCACAGTGAAGGGGGAGATGGAGAAGTCGCTCACGTGAAAATTCCAGGTATGTCTATTAAAAAATGAAACTGTATGAAATACGATATTTTTTCTATACTTTAAATATTTTAATATTTAGCTAAGTTTAAGGTTTAAATGTTAACTCTGTTATCAATGTGCTATCTGGTCTCTTTTATATCCGATGGAGATAGTTGGTCAAAAATATGAAATATAAATAAATAAATATGTACAGTAGTCACTTATTTTCAAACCATTGTCTGACAAAAATTATTTGGTTTTCTAGTATTCAAACAGTTAATATATCATAAATATACATTTTAGTGGTTGAGAGAAGCCAATTAGCAATTTTTCACCAAGTCCCTTCCCCAAATTTTACTATTCTTCCTTACTGTGGGGCTGTTCCTGGAAGGGATGAACAAAGAATGCTGGGAGTGAAGCCAGAAACCAAGTCCCACAAGGTGTGAAGGTGATTCCAGCTAAAAGAAGTAGGCACACATATTGGGTAGCAATGTAGAAGGTATTGGACATGGATGATCACTTTAGGGGCAATAAAACAAAGGCATCATTTCATATTACATGGGGTAAACTTATTTTACTGAGAAAACTATGATTATAAAATAAGTGATGAGGTAATGCTGGATAATGAGTCCCCATGTGTGATAGGGGTCCACATTCTACTGAGGAGCTGAGGATCTTTCAGATTATTAATGGTTAGATTAATAATGGTTAGATTTAAATTTTGGCAATGTTCTGCTACTGATATTATCATTCAGGAAAAGAAAATCCAAAACTGACCATTTGATATTGATAGTTCATTATTGACATTGATCCTGGGACAGTCACTCTTCCGAGCCTTAGAAAGAAGGCAATGGCAAACCACTTCCCAAAAATGTTGTCAAGAAAAATAAACTGCAGGAGCTTGTCTGTGTAGTTGTCAGGAGTAAAGTGTAATTTGAAATCACACGGAGGCAAAATAATAACTCTTAATGAGGAGAAACATGAAGGTAATATTTAAAATAGGACAAGGTTTAGCAAATAATTAGAAAAATCTGATTATCATGATTCAGAGAATACAATTTTGGGAAGAATCTTTAAAACATCTGTTTTACTTGTAGCCTTGCTTAATCTTCAATCTTTTGTATAAAATGCAAACCTGTTTGATTTTCCAGGAGCTGCTGCTGGACTATTACCTAGCTGTATTGGTTTATTGTTGCCTGCCCTTGGTATCCTTATCTTTTGGGAATTCTGAATGTACCTGAACATGTCCTCAGTTTAGTGCAAAGGACTGAACCTAAAAGAAATCCTTCTTTTCTTCAATTTCTTGAGGCATTTTCCTAAGCCAAATAAATTACACTTCCGAGTATATTATCTTCCTAACAACTATGGAACTTCAAGGACTGAAACACCCAGAAACTCCTTCATCAAGCAACTCAAGTTTTGAAAGTTTGAGGAACACTTTTTAACATGTTCAATGTTATGCCTTATGAAACACTTCTGCTGATCTGCAACAGTTGCATGATTCAGTCAAATGGGGCAAGTTACAGTGTAGTGTTAAATCTAATAATGTAAGCTGTATGGTAAAAATAAAATCACCACACATAGGTGCTTTAACTTTCATAATAAATTGTGAAAACATAATAGAGATTGAAAAAATGATTATATGTGGTATATGTAGAAGCAACTACGTCTGTCCGTACTATCCTATCTGTTTTGTGTACTGCATTTTTTTTAATGGCCCCTGACATTTATGACTTTTCAGGTTTTTAAAGATACAGTCAAAGCAAAAGCATTGCACTCATTTTACAGCTTTTGTACTTGAAGTGAATAAATGGATTGAAAACACTAAAATGCAAGTTAAGGAGTAAAAGACTTTATTTCTGGATCCATTATTAACAGCAAAAGATTCCAGTACCTAAATTATATAATGGGAATTTAACTCAACATATTGTTTTAAATAATGCAAATCAAGTGAGATTTATCTCAGTCACAAAGAAGTTTATTTTGCTGTAAATGATCTTAATAGCTATATAAACAAATTTACTTTTAGTATTTTATCTAAATGTAATTGCCACATTTGAGTAAATCAAATTACATAATTTAGATTTTAATATTACAGACACGTTATTTTTATTAATCCCAGTTGCATAAATATTGATATGAATATAGTATTTAAATAGTGTCTAAAATCAAAGCAAATGCTGCAATAACAAAGACATATGCAGTAAAAAGAAAACAAATTAGCAGTTAACAAAATCTATCTGACAGGATTGTTTTCCTCTAAGACACTTATTGCCTTCTTTTAATGAAGGCCAACCTGGAGGAAAATGATTTGTATTTTCCAATGAATTAACATTGTTTTACTTCCTAGAGTTATAAATAAGAGTTGTAATGTCCGAATCCAATTTTCCCTATTTAATTATCCTAATACATTACAATTCAAAAATAGAGCTCAATTATTCTGTTTCCTTTAAATAAGTTTTCAAATTTAGGGTTCCCACAAAAGATAAAGAATGCCTTTGTTCTGAATGTTTCTATGCGGTATTTAATTTTTTAAAAAAGGTATACTTAATTCTTTTAGAAACTATTGAGAATTTGGTATGAATTAAAAGAAAAAAACTGCTCAAGTTATACTGAATCATTGGCTCAAGTAATAGTGCAAATGTCTGATGCTTCCAGAATTATAAGCTTGGAGTCATATTTTATTAGCAGAACCTTGCTAGCTGCTTTAGAAATAGAATTTAACTTTTTAGAGCGGATATTGTAGATGCCCATAATGATACCATCCATGTGATTCAAGAACAGATTTGTCAGTACTTTACACTCATTCTTTAATATGTATGACCTTGTATCATATATTTACATTTTAAAACTCTAGACTCTTCATGCAAAATATCAATAACTCTTTAACTTTTGTTAGTTTGAAACTTTTTTAAACAGTAGGTCAAAGGATAATTTCTTTCTAACTGAATGTTAGAAGATGCATAAATGTTATTCATAATTATATACTTATTTAAAGAAACTAAAGTATCTTCATGCATAAGAAACTAATGTCTTTCTATATATTTTGATTTGGTTTACTTTTATGCAAAGTATCTCATATTTTATATAACCTAAGTTCACATTTTTTCTTTCTTTCTTTTCTTTTTTGCCAAAATGCATGCCTGTCAGTTTCTAACACATGATAAAAATATCAAAAGTAGATATTTTTGCATGGATAACATTTGAAAAATCAAAGCATATGTATTTAATTTAAGTTGCAATACATTTGAGTGAGCTATCATCGCTCAGACTAATGAACTAATCCCAGATTTTCATTGTTCTGTGCAGCTGTACAAATTTTACTGAAATACTCAGTAAACAACCAACAGTTGTTGGCGCGACTCGTTATATACTGTATCATCTGGTTTACGTTGCAAGGTTCTTAATTAAAGTTTATATAGATACATTGCTTGTTTCCTTGTATTTCAGGCAATATTGATATTATTACCGGTATTTTATACTGGTAAATTTTAATTTTTTTAAAGTTACTTTTTATCATTTTCGTTACTATTGAATAGACCAGACTACACTTTGTCCATTTTATGGTTGAAAAATAAATTATAATTAAATAAATGTATTAATGGTACTCCAGATATAATAATTGTCATTTGCTTTTTCTAGAGCCTTAAATAGATTTCTTTGTATATGAGAGGTGGGAGGGAATAGGGAGAAGATTACATTGCAGCTTTGCAACTGCTGTTATCTCTTTGGCTCTGGTATGCGGTTGCCTAGCTACAAGGGGATTGGGCTGTATACTGTATTTGAAGTTGATGTGCTCACGCATTTTCCCTTATAACTTGCTTGAAACCATTTGCTTTCATTTTGTTCCCAGTAAAAGTACTTTTCTCTAAATCTTTTTAAAAAAAACAAACAAATTTTATTCAGTTTTTCACATTAAAAACAAAAATCTCTTTTTAGTGGACAACATATTTCCAGGTCATCACCTTTACATACAAATATGACAGCAATCATACATTCATATATGCATACTTAATTCTATTATTACCTTTTCCATTCCAAATTTTCAGTAAGGAGAGAAACAAACACATTAATTCTAGCCTCTTTCATTAATCTCAATCGAAACAACTTTTTGTTTCATTTCAATTATTTCAAATATAATCCTTTAATATTTATTTTAAAAATAAAGATAAACAATATGTGTTTGCCTAATAATAATAATGATGATGATAATGATGATAATAATAAAAAGGTTACCAATGTCTCTCCTTGCTTTTAATAGCCTATATTAACTTATTAATTTAGTTGGTTCTTTAGTCTGTCATATTCCCTTTCCATTACACATTCTTTTTATAAATTCTAGATTAATACAAATTTTAACACTAAAGAAAAAAAACAAGTATAGGTTTCCCCCCTTTTACTGCTTTGAGTGTGACACCTCAATGATTAAAATATACCTTTATTCCCTCATCTTGATTCCCAATAAACCATTATTTTTAAGAAGTTACAATAATAATCATTACATCTTTTCATTTGGATTCCACAGCATATTTTCCCCCCTTAATTTTTAATAAGAGTTATCAGTATCTATATTACCCTATTTTCTAAATATTTTTAATTGCAGAAATATTCTTATTACCCCTTGTCACCCTGCAGAATCCCCTTTTTAATTCATCAACCATTATCTCTGAAAAAACAATTTCTTTTCAACATTTTACTATTTCCGTATTTCTTTATTTCATGCACCTGTTTCTTACTGCTTCTCCTCCCCCTCTTTTCCCCATATCTTTTCTCATTCCAGTTTATATCCCTCTCTTTCTTAATATCCTCCTTTCCCCTTTTCTGCTGGGTCTTTCTGCCTTTCCCGACTTCACAGGTATTCCCCCTTTTGATTGCCTTCTTAAATCTCAACTTTTTAACCTTCCTTCTTTCCCCACTTCTTTGTAGTGTTCTTTGTGTTAATTGTCTATTTAAAATGTCTTCTCCTTGAATCGACTCCTCCTCCTCTGAAGCTCTTTCTTCTTGTTCTTCAATCGCCATTTCCATTTTTTCTAACACAGAGCAAAGTGATTTGCCTCTTTCCTGTAGTAATTCTTTCATATTTTTAAGTTCCATTCTTAATTCCCGAAGAGATATCATCATTACACACTCTTATATTTTATGATCGTTAAAGTCCACACAAAAAAACCCTTTTACTTTCCTTCTTTCTTCTTTAAATTTTCTAAAGTTCTCAATTATTCCAGCCCAGGGTCTATACCAAAAACATCAATCAATCCCACAGTCAGTCTTTCCTTGCTTTTTTCTTTATTCTGGTTCTGCTTTCACTTTCTAAGATTCTTACTTTGTCTCAATATTTCTTTAATGTTATATCCACACAAGTTCATTCAGAAACAGGATGCTTTCCCTTTTGTTTGAGCTCAAGTTTTTGTCAAAAGGTGGCACTCTCCATTATACAAAGTCTTCACCTTTTCCCCCTATTTTTTTATTTAGGGTTTTTCGAACCTCAATATTCCAGCACAGCCCAGTCTCCAATTTGTAAACTTTATTATTATTATTATTATTTGACAATCTTAAATCCAGCTTTATTTTATGCCTGTTTATTCCCAAAATATTTTAGTCCAATTTAGTTAAATCTTTAGTTCCGGCTTCTTCCTTTCCCGGTTCGAAGCCCCGCTTAGCTGTCAAAAATATTTTCTTATTTTTTTTCCTGTGCCTTTGTAATTTCACCACTCACTTTTCTTTTCTTAAAAATTCCATGTTACCTTAATCCCGGGGTACTTTTGTTTAGTTGTATTGCCCAGTTGTCCCAGTTCAGATGTTATCCACCTCTTTCTTCCCTCCTGCACAAATCTTAATCCAGCTGAGTCCTCTTCTTCGGGGTGGCCATTTTAAACCACCACTGCAGTCGTCTTCGGGGGGGGGGAAGACCAAGCCCAGGGGGGGAGATGCAGCTCCCCTCAACCTGGCTTGCAGCTTCCCCTTACTCCACCGCCCCTCCAAGGCAGCTTCAGCCCCTAATTGTAATGATCGGGGCTCTCCAACAAAACAGCATGGACCATAGCCGCAGAGAGTCGCGATCTATGGTCCGTCAGTGAGGAGACTCCGCCTTCTTCCACTTTTCTCTAAATCTATGGAGCCAAGGACAGGACAGTGTCAATGCCCCCCAACTACAGAACTATGACCACTTTATGGCAGTCCTTTGCCAACAGTTCAAGGATCCACTGGCTGACTTCCGGCTGATGTTGCAGCATTGTTGGACATGAGAAATGGGTCTCTGGAGAAGGAGTGGAGCCTCTGAGCAGTACCAGTCACAGAGAACAGTAATCTCCATTCCTGTGCTGGTTTTCTCCCTGTTTGTGGGCTCCAAAAGGAGCCAAATCCACCCTGTAGGGGTGGCGAAGCTAAGGAGGGGCGCTCTGTGAAGTCGCAGGAGAGATAGCAAACCTGTCAAACCAAGGGCTTTTTCTCCTCTATGCCATGGCAAGGAGAAGAGGCAATCTAAGATGGCTGCCACAAAGCTGGGAGAGATGATGACCATTTAAGCATAGTGTAGGAGCAGTCCTTGGTGAACAGCGTGTGAACTGGGTGAGAAGAATTATTTTTATTCAAATTTTAACCCCAAAAGAATATCCAGGAAAAGAGAGGTTCACAACTATTTTTACAAATAGCAGCGAACTAGCACCTTTGAAACACTGGAACTTCCCACTTAAAAACCAAAGCTATTTTAGGAGGTGAAAGAAAGACAAATTCCTTGTGTGTCTAATCACACTTGGTCAGTAAAGAATTCATTCATTCAAGAATGCTTAAAGGAAGCTTTAAAATATAGAAAACCTGGAAAACAGATGAACAACCGAGGAACTGTCTTTTTTTATTTGTATTCTTAAACCCCCTGGATCTATTGGAAAATCAGCTGTTTTTGACATACTGTTTAATGCTGGAACTTGGAAGTAGTGCCATCTACTGGAAGAAGAGCTCTACAGCCTGAGATCTTGTAGTGAAAGTGCAGGAACGTCTAACACACACATAATAGAAGAAAGTAAATAGAACCTGGAAAGCAGTTTGACCTTGATTTTATCTCAGAAGGTGATTTGGATATTTTGAATTACTGAGTGAGTTTCATCCCCTTTTTGAAGATTTTAAAGATGAGCTAAATTGTTAATAATTAAATACTATCGAAATACTATCGAAATTGGACTGAGGACTCAAAAGACTGGAGAAAACAGTGGATTAATTTGGATTGGGACTACTAATACTATTTGACAAAACATCACATGAGGTTAAAGATTGAATACTGTTAATATTTGGATTGATTAGTGGTTTTGGATATTTGGGATATCGAAAGTAATTTTTAAAAGATTAAATATAAGACAGGATAATAAATAATGGTGAAAAGAAATATTATTTATGTTTAAATGAATTAATGGGAAAAATAAGAAACACTAGAAATAGAAATAAGAGGGGAACAACAATATACATATTTTAATATAACAAGATATATGTAATCATAAGGGAGGTTTAGAAATTGAATGGTGGTAGTATTAGATATGTTTAAACAACATGAAACAATGATAATGAAATGTAATAACTATGAATAACATTATATTTATCTGTACCCAGATGTATGGTACCCATACTGTTCACACATTGATATGTATAAGCAATATAAAATAAAAAAACTTGACAAAAAAAGGAATGGGTCTCCGCGCTCCCATGCTGAGTTCTCCCTGTTGGAGGGCTCTGAAAGGACTTAAAGCCACCCTGTAGGGGTGGTGAAGAAAAGAGGGGCACCCTGTAGTTTGGGAAGAGCAGCTGGACTCAGGGATTCTTTCCTCTCCCTCGACAAGGAGAAGAAGCAGCCATCATGGCTGCCACAAAGCTGGGACAGCCAAGGAAACAAAGAAATGTGCAGGAGTGGTGTGATTGAACAGTGATTGGAGCTGGGTGAGAAGATTTCTTCCTATTTAGACCCTAACTTTAAAGGAAAAAAAGGAAAAGGAAAATCCAGGAAAAAAGACTCTTAGACTTTAAAAAGACTTTTAAAGCAGTGAACTATCACACAGAGAAAAATCTTTGAAAGTAAGCATGTTATCTTAGTTTTCCTATACCATAAAAAAAACATGTCAACCCATGTCCTTCCAATGTTAAAAGCCTTATATTTCTTAATACAATCCATTCTTTCATCCACATCAATACCACGGCTTGATAATATAATTCCCAATTGGGTAGCCCAAATCCTTCTCTCATTCTTGTATCCTGTAAACGTTTAAGTTTAATCCTTGCTTTCTTTCCTTGCCATATGTATTTCAATATTATTTTCTTTAGATCATCAAAGTATTTTCCCCAACTTTATTGGAATTGCTTGGAATAAGTATAATACTCTTGGTTAATATGTTCATTTTAATCGTCACTATTCTCCCTATC